GACAGGAGGAGACTGGAGAGTAGAGGAGCAGAGAAGATGACAGGAGGAGACTGGAGAGTAGAGGAGCAGAGAAGATGACAGGAGGAGACTGGAGAGTAGAGGAGCAGAGAAGATGACAGGAGGAGACTGGAGAGTAGAGGAGCAGAGAAGATGACAGGAGGAGGCTGGAGAGTAGAGAAGCAGAGAAGAAGACTGGAGGACACTGGAGAGTAGAGGAGCAGAGAAGATGACAGGAGGACACTGGAGAGTAGAGGAGCAGAGAAGAAGACAGGAGGAGACTGGAGAGTAGAGGAGCAGAGAAGATGACAGGAGGAGACTGGAGAGTAGAGGAGCAGAGAAGAAGACAGGAGGAGACTGGAGAGTAGAGGAGCAGAGAAGAAGACAGGAGGAGACTGGAGAGTAGAGGAGCAGAGAAGATGACAGGAGGAGACTGGAGAGTAGAGGAGCAGAGAAGATGACAGGAGGAGGCTGGAGAGTAGAGAAGCAGAGAAGAAGACTGGAGGACACTGGAGAGTAGAGGAGCAGAGAAGATGACAGGAGGACACTGGAGAGTAGAGGAGCAGAGAAGAAGACTGGAGGACACTGGAGAGTAGAGAAGCAGAGAAGAAGACTGGAGGACACTGGAGAGTAGAGGAGCAGAGAAGATGACAGGAGGAGACTGGAGAGTAGAGGAGCAGAGAAGAAGACAGGAGGAGACTGGAGAGTAGAGGAGCAGAGAAGATGACAGGAGGAGGCTGGAGAGTAGAGAAGCAGAGAAGAAGACTGGAGGACACTGGAGAGTAGAGGAGCAGAGAAGATGACAGGAGGACACTGGAGAGTAGAGGAGCAGAGAAGAAGACAGGAGGAGACTGGAGAGTAGAGGAGCAGAGAAGATGACAGGAGGAGACTGGAGAGTAGAGGAGCAGAGAAGAAGACAGGAGGAGACTGGAGAGTAGAGGAGCAGAGAAGAAGACAGGAGGAGACTGGAGAGTAGAGGAGCAGAGAAGATGACAGGAGGAGACTGGAGAGTAGAGGAGCAGAGAAGATGACAGGAGGAGGCTGGAGAGTAGAGAAGCAGAGAAGAAGACTGGAGGACACTGGAGAGTAGAGGAGCAGAGAAGAAGACAGGAGGAGACTGGAGAGTAGAGGAGCAGAGAAGAAGACAGGAGGAGACTGGAGAGTAGAGGAGCAGAGAAGATGACAGGAGGAGGCTGGAGAGTAGAGGAGCAGAGAAGAAGACAGGAGGAGACTGGAGAGTAGAGGAGCAGAGAAGAAGACAGGAGGAGACTGGAGAGAAGAGGAGCAGAGAAGAAGACTGGAGGACACTAGAGAGTAGAGGAGCAGAGAAGATGACAGGAGGACACTGGAGAGTAGAGGAGCAGAGAAGAAGACAGGAGGAGACTGGAGAGTAGAGGAGCAGAGAAGATGACAGGAGGAGGCTGGAGAAAAGAGGAGCAGAGAAGAAGACTGGAGGACACTAGAGAGTAGAGGAGCAGAGAAGATGACAGGAGGACACTGGAGAGTAGAGGAGCAGAGAAGATGACAGGATGAGACTGGAGAGTAGAGGAGCAGAGAAGATGACATGAGGAGGCTGGAGAAAAGAGGAGCAGAGAAGAAGACTGGAGGACACTAGAGAGTAGAGGAGCAGAGAAGATGACAGGAGGACACTGGAGAGTAGAGGAGCAGAGAAGGAGACAGGATGAGACTGGAGAGTAGAGGAGCAGAGAAGATGACAGGAGGAGGCTGGAGAAAAGAGGAGCAGAGAAGAAGACTGGAGGACACTAGAGAGTAGAGGAGCAGAGAAGATGACAGGAGGACACTGGAGAGTAGAGGAGCAGAGAAGGAGACAGGATGAGACTGGAGAGTAGAGGAGCAGAGAAGAAGACAGGAGGAGACTGGAGAGTAGAGGAGCAGAGAAGATGACAGGAGGAGGCTGGAGAAAAGAGGAGCAGAGAAGATGACAGGAGGAGACTGGAGAGAAGAGGAGCAGAGAAGAAGACAGGAGGAGACTGGAGAGTAGAGGAGCAGAGAAGAAGACTGGAGGACACTGGAGAGTAGAGGAGCAGAGAAGAAGACAGGAGGAGACTGGAGAGTAGAGGAGCAGAGAAGATGACAGGAGGAGACTGGAGAGTAGAGGAGCAGAGAAGATGACAGGAGGAGGCTGGAGAGTAGAGGAGCAGAGAAGAAGACAGGAGGAGACTGGAGAGTAGAGAAGCAGAGAAGAAGACAGGAGGACACTGGAGAGTAGAGGAGCAGAGAAGAAGACTGGAGGACACTGGAGAGTAGAGGAGCAGAGAAGAAGACAGGAGGAGACTGGACAAAAGAGCGGTCAGTAATGTGAGAAAAGTGAATCTCTTTCTATTGTGTTGCTGTTGTTAGCATAAATACTAACCTATTCTTGTGTACTATAAACTCATATGTTGCAGTAAATCACAGCTGTGGAGAATGGAGAGAAGACAAGTGGAGAATGGAGACTTAAGAGGAGCAGAGAAGATGACAGGAGGACACTGGAGAGTAGAGGAGCAGAGAAGAAGACAGGATGAGACAGGAGAGTAGAGGAGCAGAGAAGAAGACAGGAGGAGACTGGAGAGTAGAGGAGCAGAGAAGAAGACAGGATGAGACAGGAGAGTAGAGGAGCAGAGAAGAAGACAGGAGGGGGAAACTGGGCAGAAGTGGTGAGAGTATGAGAGTAGATACTATTTTGTAAATATGTGTTCTGTCATGGGTGTTTTGTGTCATGGGGGTGTGGCTATGGCAATTAAAGGATATTATTTGCACACTGCAATTGACTAATTAATTAAAAACAAAGTAGTTGTAGTATTTTGCTGTTTAGTAGCAGTAATATGCAGTTACTAGCTGTCCACTGCATTTTTTGTTTTCTTGAGAACCTCCTTGAAATGACCAGGACCCCCCATTGTCCCCCAATAAAAATTGACAGCTAGCTACTGGTTAAATGTAAACAGAGCAAATAAGATAAATATATTTGCTCTGTTTACATAGTTTAATGACACCTAGTGGTTATTTACTGGCACTACTGCCTTAACATTGACACTCCCAATAGATAAGATGAGGATAATTTATTATCATTTAATACAGCTGTGTAATGAGATATAAATTATTAATAACAAAAAAAAGTCTGATAGAATATTTAACATACAACACATGACTTATTCTGGCATACAAACAACCAATTTGTAACCAAAAACTAGGCTATGTAAAATGTGAATGAACTTTTATTAGTAACTTTGGTAAGTTTCAGATTTCAGTTCATTAAATAACATCGACTGGGGGGGGGGGGGGGGGGGGGGCAAAAAAATGCAGCCTGCCTAGTGTAGTTCATTTATTTAATCCGGCTCTGCATATGACACCAGAGTGGCTGAAGAAGCCTGTGCAGTAGGGGGTGTGGGGGATGGGTGTTGCATTTCAAACCTTGCATAAAAGGAGTTAAGTTGTTCAGCCAGTTGTCGGTCGTCAGCAGCATGTTGGGCTCTGGGCTTGTAGTTTGTGATTTGCCTGAGCCCTCTCCAGACAGAGGCGGAGTCATTGTTGGTGAACTGCTCCTTTAGTCGCTTGTTGTACAGAGATCTCGCCTTCTTCAACTCTTTTGAGAACCTGTACTTGGCGTCCTTATAGCTTTCTCTGTCCTTGGCTCTGTGGGCTGCTTCTTTCTCTCTCCTCAGCTGTCTCAGTCTGGGTGTGAACCAGGGCTTATCGTTGTTAAAAATGACCCTGGTTTTTGTTGGAATAATGCTGTCCTCACAGAATTTTATGTATGATGTCACAGTGTCTGTATATTCATCCAAATTGTCTGTGGCAGATCCAAACACATTCCAGTCTGTATCATGATACGAGCCTTTTAAAACATGTTAAAGTGTTACAAGAGGAGATAAATGCATGAATTTAAAGTTCATGTTTGGAGACCAACCTTCACAGTTTGGAGGCTCACGCTGGTGAGGAGACACCATTAGTTCTAGTAACACCTGGGCTCCCAAGACCTATTCTGACAGGATGGATGTTACGGGACTCTTATGGATTCCAGTTGGATGATTGGAGGATTATTTAGGAGGACTGGAATGAACAAACTGATTTCAGTGGTGAAGGGTTAAATGAGTGAGTGAACCCACTACCAAGGATGAACTCTGCTAGCTTTAAAAATCAGCTGCTCTAAATAAGCATGAATGTCAGAGAGGAGCTCCAGGATGGACGTGGATAAAGGAACTGTAATGTAGAGGTAAAGTAGGGCAGGGCCAACGTTAGCAGCTGTCATACTGAAATGTTTGACTTTCATTTAGCTCGTTATGTGACAGGTTAGAGCACAGTCTCATGTTAGTTTTGTCAAGAAAACATTGAGACACCTCACACGCTGATGGCATCTAAAAAAATTATTTTTTCTCAAAATAAAGAATAATTTTAATCACAATTGAAACTGACCATCCTAGAAAAACCTCGTCCAATCAATGTGCACGTCCTGTTCTCACTGATTGGATAGAAATCCCTCCTTCAAGCTGTGCGTGTTTGAGTGTGTGCGCGCACACACACCAGCGAATTGTGAACTGGCTTTGTGATTAAGCACTACTTAGATGTAGCCATCCTTACGCTGACAAAAATGTAAGTAACTTTTACTTTGAGTACATTTTGTTTACGATACTTTTTACTTTTACTTGAGTAAAAATTTAGGCAAGTGCGTTTTACTTGAGTAAAAAATTATCTAAGTATTGGTACTCGTACTTAAGTAGATTTTAGTACTCTTTCCACCTCTGCTGATTTTAGTCTACTCTTTATGCCTAGTTATAAACTGGGTATTTCAAAATGTGCTAAATATATCAAACTTGAATATAATACATTTTATTTTTATAAAATACTTTTTTTGATCATGGCCCAGAAAAGCACACTTACTTTCAGATGACTGACCATAATTCTTAAGTTTACATTTAGCATTTCCGAAATAATTTGAACCTTTTGTTATGCATTTATACAAAATAATTCAAACAAAAATATTAAATGAGATCATGCATTTCGAATAATGAAAAGCTTAACTTTATTAATTTACACAAACATAGTACAGTCTCTTTATGGTTTTCACCACATCTCCATCTGGTGGCTGATGAAGGTCACTGCAGCTCCTGATTCTTCCAGCGTGTTGAAAATGCACACAAGAACAAGAAGCTCCTCTGGCTCCAACAGTGCCCTCGTTAGGCCAGATGAGACCTTTATCTTCAGCGTTTCTTCCAGGTATACTTGCGTCGTGCTCCCTCCTGACCCGGCTTCTTCCTTTCCCTCACTCGGGGGTCGGGCGTTAACAAACCAGCTACCAAAATAAACAGTGTTAGACATACTCTCAAACAAGGAGGCTGTCAGAAAGTTACGTTCCGGTGAGATGTGGACGGAATGATCCAGTCTTTAAAGAACAGAGCGGATGAAAGCGAAGATCGGGGAGGTCACACCAACCTTGTCTCATGGCCTCTCCTTCTTTCTCAGACAGGAAGCTCAGCAGCGCTCGAGAGATGGCGAGCCGCAGCGCCCCCGCCTGGCTCGACCTGCCGCCGCCGCTCACGGTGCACTTGAGGTCAAAGCGGCCCAGCACGCCCATGAACTGGAGCGGGAACATCAGCTGCTCTCTGAGTTTGGGGGTAACCAACAAGAGAAAAGAAAAGAGGGGGAGGGTGAAGAGAGGAAATACGGCTGAAAAGGCAGAGCAGGAGGGGTCGCTTTTTTAACAGAGAGAGGTATCAGCCGTGGGGGCTTAGCTAATTTAATGTCTGCTTGGGTGACTTTTCAGACAAGCACAGAGGAAAATACCCCCCCATTGCATTAGAGAGTAACTTCTGACTCAGCAGCAGAGGGTCTGTGTTCTGGATGGCGTCTCAGCCTGAATGGCCTGCGGCTGCTGACAAAGTCAATTGTCACCTCTCTGCTCCACTTACAGCCCGTCCTCACACAACGTGACAACAGCAGCTCCGGACACTCACACACAGCCACTCAGCTGTGTAATTAACTCACTACAAGGAGATAAATAAGAAACCAGGCGATGCTGTGAAGAGTGAAAACGCTGCTTTCTCGTCTCGTCCCCCTCCTCTTTTCTACTTGAGGGGAGGGTGGGGAGTCGGCAAACGGTGTGCGTGAGTGAGGCGGCACCGAGCGTCCACAGCTACCTGTCCTGGAGCACGGAGAAGTAGTGGTGGCAGTCCTGGCCGTTGACGGTGACTCGTCCTGAGCCGCAGTCGCGCAGAACAACCGACGATCTGGACGTCTTCCTCAGGCCTGAAAGTCAAAGCCACCGGAGTGATTTTCCATTGCTACAATCCTTTTTAAACATGTGAGGGGAACATTTTACAACATGCCGTCCCAGCCTACCAGCATGGACAGAAAAATGTCACATCCTTACTCATCCATTAGTCTTCACTCTGCTTTTCTTTGATTGAACTTGTTTATATTTTGTGACCATTGATTTCTGTTTTGTTTGTGGCCGTTTTTGATCTTATATAATGGCTTTCAACTACCAGGACTTGATGTTTTGTTTCTTTGTAATTATTGTCAGTATTAACACAACTTCAGTTGTTTTGATTTGTATTTTGTTTATTTTCAAACTATTTTGATTGTTTTGAGTTCCAGGATGAAATGATTTTGTTATTGTTGCAACTACATAGGATTTTCACTTGAAGCTCCCTTTTTTACTTTGGTAAATGGCCGGTATTTGTACAGCGTCTTGGCCTTCTTAGGGTTCGCCAACCCCCCAAAGCGCTTCACAACTCAGTCATTCACCCATTCACACACTGGTGGTGATGAGCTACGATGTAGCCACAGCTGCCCTGGGGTGCACTGACAGAGGCGCCACCGGTCCCTCCAACCACCATCAGCAACAAGGTGGGTTAAGTGTCTTGCCCAAGGACAACAGCAGCGCTCTGGTAAGACCTGGGATCGGACCTGCAACCTTCTGGTTACTGGACAACCCGCTCTGCCTCCTGAGCCACTGCCTTACCGTTGCAACATCTTTGAGTACTTTATTTAAAAGGTGTGCTTGTTTAATCAAAACATTTTCAGTGATGTCTAGGAACGAATGCCTTGCAGGCAGAACTCAGGTCACAAAAAGCCCACAAACCCCCGCCCCAGCAGGACCTCAGAGCTGTGCTTCAACCAGGAGGATTTGGAGTCGTATTTCCTGATATGTAGACATTTTGCCTCGGCTTGAATGAAAGCAACAACTCTGTTTGCTCAGGGACGTTTTAGCTCCACAAATAAAAAGCCTGGAGGTGCTTCTGCTGTGTTAGTAAGTTGCTAATGCTAGTAGTTAGCTTCTGTTGAAATAGGCCTTCTCTGCTGATTCTGGTTGCTAAAACAACAGCAGCCTTCCCCGTTGTGATAAGTCCAATTCACAGTGTGACGTAGATCTGTCAGGCTATTCAAATCCTAGAGTTTCACCATCTGCTTTCTATCAAAAGCTAATGCAGAAGATAGGTGTAGGAGACTATTTCCATGTTTAGCCTGCATGAAAACCTCAGAGTGACTTATAATCAGAAATAAACATTAAAACACGTTTTTTTCAGTCAACCACACCTTTAAGTATTATGTAAAGCAAGAAAACTTCCAAAATGTGCCTTTAAAAGCAGCTTCAACTGCATTTGTAGCAAGTTTGCTTTGTAATCTTTTCACTGCGAGTTGTAGCACTTCAGAGTCTCCTTTACATTTTAGGGAACTGTACCAATCTGAAGTTGTTTCGGAACGGCAATAAACTATTTAGAAATGTTTTGTGTTACTTTACTTGTTCTGAATTTCTCTGCAATTCCAAGTAATCTTGGGTTAAAGGTGCATTATGTAGAAATTAAGTAAAAGTGACATCCTGTGGTAAAATTTGGTTACTGCAACCACTTTAAGCAACTGGAGCTTTTTGCCGGCTGTCATCAAATTACAATTGTTGGCGCTGCAGTATTAGCTTACAGGAGACGCGGAAACCCCACACTCACTGATGGTAAACAGTAGTTACGTCCCTCCTTCCTTTGTTTTGAAAGGAGAAAACACAGTCCTGCAGCCAGCTGGATAGGAAATATGTTTCTGTCTAACCTTCCTTCCAACATGACAAACTTGACTATTGGGATTTTCTCACTGTAAAACTCTCACTATATTCTTACATAATTCTATACTATATCCTTAATTTGATGGTAGTTTTGTTGCAGTAGCAGGATTTCCCTCAGCGCTTTATCAGCCTGGCGGGCCGCCAGGCTTTGCTTGGTCCCCCGCCAAGCTAAGCGTCATGCCTCGCCCTGCCCTCCCCGACCCTACCGTGTTTGTTGACATGAATGGCGCACGGCAGTGAAACAAAAGTAGGGCCCTCCATCAGCTGATACTGGGGAGAAACAGCAGCGGATCGTGTGCACGTGTTTCAGGTCATTCTTAATCCGCCCTTTTGCTAGTGCCTCCTGACAGCATACTGATGAACTAAGAGCTTCATCCTCAGTGGGATTATCAACAATCTTATTGTGTTAGGCACAATTAAAACTTGGGTAAATGCGTTGTTTTAGAAATTTGCTAATATGTGCGTTTATATCATTGAAAACAAGTCCATTGCAGCATCATGACGAGTTTTACGAATGCAGACCTTGACCTTCTTGTCCTCTTGAAGCGTTGCATAGTTTATATAAAATAAGACCAACACTGAACTCAGTGTTTATAAGAAAAGGTAATAAGTGTCTTTCTGGATTCTTAAACTCCACAATAACAAGATAAAAACAGATCCTCTCATGTCTAGCTCAAGCCCTGGCTGGTCTGACGAGGACCGACCTTCTGCAGAGCTGTAGGCCACGCCCTTCTCGTCCTGCTGCAGAGGCTGCACAATCTGATGCATGGACTGAGCCTCCAGCTGCCGGCGGTACTGCAGGATGAACTGCTGCTCCAGACTGCAGTAGGGCATGGACAGCAGGCGCTCCATCAGCTGAACAAAATGAGTATACTGGAGACAAAAACACATGCAACCAAAATCTGCTGTGGATTTATTGTTTATTAGCAATAATAAGCCATAGAAGGATGCAAAGCTCACATCATGAGTGGAGATGGTCTCCACTAAGGACACTTCCAGCTCCTCCTTGGTGAACCACCTGCTCATTCCTAGAGACCTGATGGAGACATCTTGTGAGGAAAACACATTCATGTTTGTTTTTATTGGGTTTTTTTTCTGCTTACATCGAATTGGCGTCACTGGAGAAGAGCCCCTTGGCTCTCAGGCGATCTTGGTGCTTTTCTACGTTCAGCAATTTACCGTACAGCTCCTAAAACCCACCACAAGCCAAAAAAAAAAAACGAATCAGGGCTAAACAATAAGCTGTTTCACTTTATTTGAAGCATTAACTAGAAATATTTGCAGCTTTTGCTGATGCGGGGTCTTCACTAGGCCAAAGCAAAAAAACCCTGAAACTAAAGAGATAACAGGACAGTTTCGGGGTTTGCTCACATGACCTGAGGGGAGTCTGTCATGGTGCTAAGCACAGACAGACGGGGGAGGAGGGGGGTGTCCCTAAAGACAGACACCCCCCCAGACCAGCCCCCTCAGCCACCCTGCGCCTGGTGAGAACTCATTTCCCCGTCAATTATTCACCAGATGTTTGCTTAATTCCTTCCTGATAGAGTGTGCCTAATCCTGTGCCACTCTGACCAGCGACAGGGGTGGGGGGTGCAGGAGGACAAAAAGACCAATACCAATTTTCTTTATGATGGACCAAAAGTGAGACAGAAAAAAAAATGAGTGTGGGAAGAATAAAAAGCCCTTACAATAAGTTTATGCGGTAAATCTGGTTTATGATGGGAGGATGAAGGTTTTCCTCTGGTTCTGGGGCCACGAAGAGCTCAGGGGAGCAGCATGGAGGTTAATGTACCATCAGCCAAGCAGGGGGGCTGGTTGCCCCCTCCTGGAAGTGTGTGTGTGTGTGTGTGTGTGTGTGTGTGTGTGTGTGTGTGTGTGTGTGTGTGTGTGTGTGTGTGATTATCTTATGGAATAAAAGATGGAGAGAAAAAAGGAGGAAGAGCAGGGAACAGGTCAGTAGAAAGGGAGAATAGGAGGGTAGAGGAGGGGGAGCCTGCATTCATGCAGACAGACAGCACGGGCGCTCAGACATGTCTGACACACCTATTTAAACCAGCAGCAGGGGCTGGGGGGTGCAGAGACTGAGTGACAAAATATTCAGATCTCCACCTTCTTTCATGTTTTAGATTCAGACACTCGTCTCTTATCGCACAAAGTGTCTTAAACGTGGTCAGACAAAAACAGGAAGCAGAGTGCTAAAACATGAAGGTCAGTTTTGAACCCGCTCCCCGCTGTGGGACCCGACCCGACAAGTCAAACCTAAAGCTGGACCCTGAATCCAGATACTAAACGGTATTATTCTGCTGCAGTTTAGCGCCTAAAAATCTGTTTAAATGTTTATTTCCCACAATCATTTTCCCATTAAATCCACAATAAAATATAAAAAATTTGTAAAAAATGATGAAAAACTAGAACTAATTACAATTGACATCTGTGTGTGTATAATATCCGTTTTTAAAGAGCAAGTCACCCCCAAATCAACTTTTTTTGCCCTGATAAACTATATGAATGCGTGTCTAATCGTGCTGCAGACACGTGCAGTCAATAGTTTTGCACTTTAGTGCATTTTAGTTAAAATTAAAAATTTCTGCCTAAAACTGTCAGTGTTGTGCTGTTGTCAGGTAAAAACTCTGCACTGCATTTGAGTTTAAATCTGCCATCGGTACCCTAGAACGTTAGCTGGTACCATATGATGTCACAATGTCATTCAAAGCCTGTGTGTGTATTTGTTAGCTGCCCCGCCCTCTCGGTCTGCTAGGCAACAGCATTTGTTGCATTTTTCAAACAGGAAGTGGGAGCAGAGTAATACTCTGGTAGGGGGTGACTTGCTCTTTAAGTAGTAGTAGCAGGATTATTCATTCATTTATACATGTTTAATCCCTCACTTTCAGTACCTGCTGTATAAGGAACAAAAATGCAGGTTATAATCTGCACAATAAAATCATGACACACCGGCATTAAGTTTGATGTATTTGTATGAACAGAAGGCTGTTTTCTATTTCAGTGACCTTAAATGTTTTAACAGGAATTTATTTAGTTGAAGCAGCAATCCTTTTCACAAATTATGAATGTTTTTTTTTTTTTTTAGAAATCTGTAACCCCCAAATTCCACTACCTCCGCTCCGCTCCGGTCCGCCCCCGCCTTTCGCAGCCGCTCGCTTCCGAACTCAATGTTTACTGGTACCCGCTCTACAACGGCTCCGCTCCGGTGCGGAGACCTGAGGTGGGCAAACAAGCATGCACGGGATTTTCGAGATCTTGCGATACAGTCCGAGCAATAAACGCGGAAGTTAGATCAGTTGTGTGGGAGAAACATCGGCATGAACTGTTTAATCTGCCCATCATTTGTGTTGAGAGATCAGCAGTGTTTGGATCAACAAAGTGTGACTACTTTGATAGTAGAAACTGTATTTATGGCTTATTTTTGTGCATTTAAACTTCAGCCGCCATTGATAGTTGTTAAAAGTTGTTAAACCTGTGCATATGAAACAAAAAATGCCTTTTGTTTATCGATTTATTGTGAAAAACGGAAGCTGTGCTTGCTCCTTTTCCTGTTGGGTCGTTGTGATTTCTGTCCATTTACTGCGGAGGTGCTCCGGCAAAAATAGGATCGATTCTATTTTTTCCGGACGCCGGAACAGAGGGCGGCGCACAGCGCCGCACTGCCGGAGCACGGCCGCAGTAGTGGAATTGCTCTGATTGACTACAACGGGACCGATTTTGCTCCGGCGTTCGTGTCGGAGCGGAGGTAGTGGAATTTGGGGGTAAAAGTGATATTCTGAATCTTTACTGATATAAAATAAGCTAAGCTAAACTCGCCCCCCGTCCCGTAGAGCCCTATGCAATTTGAATGGAGTTCTGTTCAACATTAGCCAATAGCGTCTGACATCTGCTTACGTAAAGATGTCAATCACAGAGAATGCATGAGTCTGCGAAAGTATAAAGCAGGTGTCTAAAATGCGGTCCAGGGGCCATTTGCAGCCTTTAGAGTGATTTAGAGTGGCCCTCGCTTAGCGTTTTTAGAAATGTGGAATTAAGTCTCTCCAGGAGGCTGTTGATATAAATTCATATATTTTAATATTTTATGTTTAAATTTTTACTAATATATCTATTTTAGGTCTTTTTTGAGCAGAACAAATGAAAAATTATTTTAAAAAATGGTTGCATTCTCAAAAAGGAAAAGAAAAATATCATTTTTGTGGCCCGTGAGGAGTTTAAACTTCAAGATTTTGGCCCTCTTCTTAACCCCCCCCACTGTCTTTATGGGTGTGACCCCACAAGGAAAGTTGACCATTGAGCAGGATTGTTTATCCATTGAGGTCCATGTGGCAGGGGTGAGGTGGTGACAACACGGTCATAAGCCTTCTCCAAATCCACAAAACACATGTGGATTGGTTGGGTAAACTCCCATGCCCCCTCCATCACTCTTGCAAGGGTATAGAGCTGGTCCACAGTTCCACGGCCAGGACGAAAACCACATTGCTCCTCCTCAATCTGAGATTCAACTATCGATCGGACCCTCCTCTCCAGTACCTTGGAGTAGAGCTTTCCAGGGAGACTGAGGAGTGTGATCCCCCTATAGTTGGAACACACCCTCAGGTCACCCTTCTTAAAGATGGGGACCACCACCCCAATCTGCCACTCCACAGGAACTGCCCCCGATGACCACGCAATGTTGCAGAGACGTGTCAACCACGACAGCCCTACAACATCCATAGCTTTGAGATAACCAGGACGAATCTCATCCGCCCCCGGGGCTCCGCCGCTGTGTAGTTAGTTGACTACCTCAGCAACTTCTGCCCCCGAGATTGGGCAGTCCATCCCCAGGTCCCCCGGCTCTGGTTCCTCTTTGGAGGATTGAGGAGCTCCTCAAAGTATTCCTTCCACCGTCCGACTTCCACTACCCTCTTGTCCCCCGGGGTAAACCCCAACACACAGGCAGAGAGCCTTGGGGCTCAGCCCTCCGCCTCTCACCCGGAGCAACTCCAGCAAAGGAGAGTGTCCAACCCCTCTCAAGGACTTGGGTTCCAGAGCCAATGCTATGTGTCGAGGTGAGTCTGACTATATCTAGCCGGTACCGCTCAACCTCTGCCACAAGCTCCTGCTCCTACATCGCCAGCGAGGTGATGTTCCATGTCCCAAAAACCAGTTTTGTTGTCCGGGGATCGGACCGCCATGGCTCCTGCCTCGGTCTGCCACCCGATCCACACCGCACCAGACCCTTCATTTTCCTCCTGCGGGTGGTGGGTCCACAGTTGGATGAGCCCATGTATCCGGATAGGGCTGGGCCCGCCCGGGCCCCATGGGCGAAAGCCCGGCCACCAGGCGCTCGCTCACGGGCCCCAACCCCAGGCCTGGCTCCGGGGTGGGACCCCGGTAACCCTCCGGGCCGGGTACTCCGACTCTTTGATTGCATATCCATGAAAGATCCTCTGAACCGTTCTTTGTCTCACCCTTCACCTAAGACCAATTTCTCATGGGAGACCCTACCAGGGGCACAAAGTGCCCCAGACAACATAGCTCCTAGGATCATTAACTCATTCACTGCCATTGACGACTAAAGTCGTCATTTGCATTTTTTTAACTGTTTGAGCATTGGAACGAGCCCCTGCGCTGAAAGAACAAACATCTCAGGCCTGAAGTCTTCATCCGCATACGTCACAGATAGGGCTGGGCGATATGACGATTTTAGACCGTTTTACGATCTACACATCTGACGGTCGGTCATTTTTGAGAGACCGTTTTATCACGATTCACAGCTCTGCTGTTGAATTTCTGCCTCTGAATGAAAAGGGAACTCACCTCAGGCGAATAACACGTCTTTGTTTGACCCTTAACCAATCAGAGTGAGTCATAGTAATATATTAGTGCCCCGCTTGTTTTCACTTGTGTGTGAACAAACATGGCTTCGCCGCGGCTGAGTGACAACAAGGTTTTCGTTCCGAAGAGGAACGCAGGGTTTCCTTAGCGCGCGGCGCTAACAACTTAGCGACGTGACATGTCTCGGAGAAAGCGTAAAAACACGTTGGACGCTTCTTCTGAAGCAGGAAAATAACACCGCTTCTTAAGCAGAGCACGACGTCGCCTCGGCTCGTTCACCCTCTGCCGAGCCGGTGTCGGTACCGGACTGAGCTCGGTCAATGGAGCTGCCCCGTGACTGCCTGATGGAAAACCAGCGGGTTTCATCAGACTCGTAGTTTCTTGTTTTTGCTGGGGACCCCCTGTATTTTACCGCTCCCTCCTGCAGTCTTCCCCTATTAACATTTATAATGATTCTGTAAACTCCGTGTATCAATAGAAACAATCTCTGCCTCTGCCAGCTGCAGTAAATGTAGTTTCCAAATAATAAGAGGTGCATTCATCTGTGTATCTCCTTTGATCCACATTAGTGATATTTTCAGCACCAGAACAGTGAAGCAAAGAAAGATTCCTGAGTTTGTTAGTAATTTTATTTATTAGGTGCATCTAACCTGTTCTATTTTTCTCTGAAATGAGATCAAATCAGTGCTTCTATGGGTTGTCTCCAATCTGCACTAGAAAATTTTACTTTATTTAGAGACTTGTTGCAGAAAATATTCAGAATGCGCAGTTTTTTGCTACCACAAGCGATCTCTGGTCCAGCCGCACATCAGAGCCGTATTTGAGCTTAACTATCCACTACATGAGCAACTGGGAGCTACATAGTATTTTGAACAAGTTAACGTTTGCACAATACGTTTGCAATTGACATGTTTGCACTTTAAATATGTTTACGATTTTAATTTATGTTAAGTTACTTGAAAAACGAGAAAAACTGATTTTTGTAATTGTTTCTCTCAGGGCTTTTATCATCTCTGGTGTGAGTTTAAAATATAAGTGTGTTAGCACTGTGCTGATTATCCCTAATATGAATAAATGTTTATTTATTCAATGTTTCTCTTCTTTAATACACAATTGAAGTTATGCTATTCATGGATAAAAAAATCGTGATAAAATCGAAATCGTGATAAAATATTGGAAAAATCGTGATATTCTATTTTTGCCATATCGCCCAGCCCTAGTCACAGATCACATGATCAGGAAGCAACACATCCATGTGTTTGGAGATCGTTTTGGGCCGTTCCTGTAAAAAAAAGTGAGGCGCGAACCGGAAAAGCGTCTGCCGATCACAATTCGACAACGGATTATGAAAGAACGGATAACGCTCGAAACTGTTAAAGTGCATGTTATAGGAGGACCTTTAAAATAGTTTTGATGGGTGGCAGTAGAATGCTTTCACTAGGAACAATAAGAAAAATGCTGAGACATGAAGGCATGCAGCATGTATTTTAATTTAACTTATTTTGAAATTTAAGACAAATAAATAAATAAATATAACAGTAAATCACATGCGCTTTTTTAATGAATACAGTAACTTTGTCTCCTTCTTTGGGACAGAGATTTTGTCCTTAAGAGACAAAATGTAACTTGTTTAACATTACTTGGAATCAACAAGGAAGATTTTGATATCCTAAGTATTTGTTAAACTGACGGGAACAAATAGACATGGAGTCAGAGAGAAAGATAAGGATATGGAGTTAAAGACAGAACGTACGAGAGAGAGGGAGACAGAGAAGAGTTTCTGCCTCCTGGATTCACTCACATGCATGAGGAAGTAGTAGGACTGCTTTCCAGTGTAAAACAGGAAGTGGAAAGGTCTCCCATCTGCTCCCCACTGCACAGCTTCAAAGGCAGGAACCACAAATCAGCTGCATGGTTTTAAAATCAGCACACGACAATAAACTCGCCGCTCACCTCTCTGCTTCGGGAAGATTTCATCAGGATGCTGAGGACAAAAACAGACAAGCAGATCAGTAAAACCTGCCTGACAAACTTTACGACAATACAAAACGGCAAAGTCTGCATTCTTCAAGTCAGCTAGTAAACTTTTACACGTCGCTGATCACGTTAGACAAACTCACCTACTTTATTCTGTCAGATGCTGACAGCTGTCTGGTGGTGAAGCCGTGACTTATGTCAACACGACTAATCCAAGAGACTAAATAAGAATGTTTTTATTTCCAAAACAGCATAAAATCAATAAATCTATAAAGAAATAAAAGCAGTTGTGTGGAGTATTTTGGGTTTTAGGGCACAGAGAGGTTAAATTCTGCATAACTAGGTCAGAGGTAAAAAGTCTGAGACTCACCTTCATGAGCGGCCGAGCCTTCTTCTCAAACAGGCCGGAGGGGAAGAGGTAAGCAATGCTCCTCTGTGGGAGACAGAGTGAACAAATGAATAAACTAACTAATGGAGGGACCTGATGGCAGGTCCTAACACCTCAGGTCACACTGAAGGACGGCGATGGAGGTGACAGATGAAGAGCTGCTTTTGGGTTCAGGGAAAGGCAAGTGGTGTGTGTGTGTGTGTGTGTGAAGTTAGAGGAGAAAACAAGCAGGAAAAGGCACAAGTTTTTGAATTTGTTGACAGCAAACGGAGGGCATTGTGGACAGTTCACTTCGAGTTCACCCCCTGCTCGATCTCTGTGTGTGTATGTGTGTGTGTTGTTAGCGAGGCTACAGATGGCGCTGCAAATGAGTGTGTGTGATAGAAGAAGTGTGTTGGCCCCGCCATGCTCCTCACAACAGCCTGTTCATCCCTCTCTTCCTCTTTGTGATTTTCCTCCTCCTCCTTTGTCGGTGGCTCAATTAGGGAGGCAGCAGGTGCAGCTCTCAGGAAGCAGGTTGCTGCCTTTAAGGTTGTCAAAACGATGAAAAGCAGGAAGAAAAAGAGAGCGGTTGAAGGTGTGAGAGGCTAGAGGAGTTGTGAGGGGAAAGTTGGAGGGTAAACAAAAAGAGAGGAACGTGGAGAACAGATGAAGACACACCTGTGTGTCTCAAGAGAGCAGAGGCAATATGGGAGATCCTCCAGGGGCAAAGACGGAGCGACGGAGGGAGAAGAGAGGGGAAGCTGTCGCCTGCATGAGCGAGCAGAGCAAATCTCAGCCACACGGGGCTTAGAGAGCTGCAAGAGGGCAGCAGGTGCTCCAAACCACTGAAAAGTCAGATAGATCCTCAAAACTATCTGAAAAACTTCACTTCTAGAACCAAAACAATGTTTCCAAGTATGGGAAGCAAACATGTCATAAAAAAGAGACTTTCCAGTGTTTTTGATACCAAACAACTAAGAAACTGAAATATTTTAACAACCGATTAACAAATGTGACCAATGACACAGAATACACTTCTTTAGTAACGACTACCGGGACACAGGAGAGAAAAAACAAAAACTTTGTGACGTTTTTCATCTGTGATTCAGGAAATCAGCGTAATAAGAAAACTGATTATTAAGACAGGTTATTACTTTATTAACAAATAAAAGCACAAATCTAGTTAAAAATCAGCATCTTAAGACATTCTTCTTTTTTTAAATAAAGATGCATCGATTCTGGCGTTGAGAGTCGACACCGTTTTCTGGTTCTTCGTTAGCCAATTCCAGTTTTTTAACCTGTTTAACCCTAACGCCCCCCAAATTGGGGGCCTCTACAGTTTCATGTCCCAAACACCTACAACTGTCCACATTCTCCAAACACAACTAAAACCACAATCAAACAGCCCAGATGGGAAACAAGGGCATTTTAAATTGTAATAAATGAAGATACAATGATATTTGAACTTTATTTTGGAAGAGCATCTGACCTTCTCTGGTGTCTGCTGGAAAAAGCCCTTGAACAAATGTAGTTGAGGACCCCTGGAATAAATAAAACAATTGACTAAATTTCCTAAATGGAATTTGAACTCACAACCTCCATCCTGTCAGCACTCACACAGGGCAGCTCTTCTAAAATAAAGTTCAAGTATTATTTCATCTTAATGTATCAAAAACCAAGAATTGCTTTGTTTTCAATCTAAACTGTTGTGATTGTAGCTGTAGCTGTGCTCGGGGAACGCAAACCATCACTGACACTTGGGACATGAAACTGCAAAGACCCCCAATTGGGAGGCGCCAGGGCCCAAAGAAAATAGGCCTAGGGCCTAAAGGGATAATAAACTGATTCATATTTTCCTGAAAGTAAAAACAGAAACACGTACTAGTGCTAGCATTTTCCTCCATTTTCATTAGTTTTTGCCTTTAAATTTTTGGAAAGGCGCTTCATACCTTCTTAACTAGTGGGTGTACGGCCCCTCCAAAAGGGGAAAAAGATGATTTTTGAGTTTCTGATTGGCCGATATTATTATTATTATTTAACCCTTTGATGCATAATGGTCACTACAGTGGACAAGTACTCAAAATTGTTATTTATTTGTTTTTGCTATTAAGCACAGCTGTTGAAGACTTTATTGCATTTGAGCCCCTCCATTTGGACTTCAGCAAGTCAAGACAACATATTTCATGCTCAGAATGCATGCTGTCCACTGAGATGGACATGTAATAAATTATTTGTAAATTAACAAAATGTTACAAAAAATATTTGTTGAAATTTGTTTTATTCACACCTAAAGATGAATGAAAAAAAAATGTTTAAAAATCATGGTTGAAGATTTCATAATTCATGCAAAGGGTTAATAATGTTTGTTTTTCCATTTCCTGAAACACAAAAGTTCATTTGAATTAGGGCTGTCGCGGTTGAGGAATCCCCCCTGCGGTGATTCAGGGTGGCTTAATATTGCGGTGTGCAATATTATTGCAGCACTTTTTTTTATTGCAGTACTATCTAAACATAATGTTTACACATTTAAAAAAGGTTAAAAATTGCCGTGCCTTCTTCTACAGCACTTTACTGAATGCAGATCAAAGGGCAGTAACAACACAGATCGCAGTAACGTTTGTTTCTCCGACAGTCGGAGTCCGACTGAACTTAAAAACAACAAAATTTAGGAGAAGGTTAAACTTTTAAATGCAAATTTGGCTCTAGCATCTAACAAATACGAAACAAGTCCCCGTTTTGTTTAGTTGTTTAAAATCAAGCATAAAAAATTACATGTACCGGGCGCGGGGCACTATCATTTCACTTTCACTTTCACACACACGAATGACGGTGATTTATAACTCAGTCACGTCCTTGTTACCCACAAGGAAAACCAGCATGTTAACCATATACGGTTTGAGAGAGGATCTGAGAGGGGTGGCAACATTTCCAGCAACACTGAAAACCCTCTCGGATGGTGCGCTCGTTGCACTTAACCAGACACACTGATTCAGGAGGAGAGGTCACAAACAAACATAAAAGAGAGAAAATGAGGGGGAGTGAGAAACTTTAATGCACACGTACTTGCGTGCGACTCTGGCGAGCAAAGGGAATCTCTCCCGGTTGTTGCTCCACCATGTCAGGGGGATTTCTTTAGGGTGGATGCATTCCTCCTGCAGGTAGCGAGTGAGCTCCAGCTCGGCTCAAGCTCTCTTCAGGACGGTTGCAGAAGCAGTGCTTTTCCGGGACTTCAGCAGGTCTCCGAGCGTTTATTATTATTTTTTTGCCGCTGGTGGCAGCTCTGTCTCGGCCAAGGACTCTGGCTGAGCAGCAGCTGACGTACTGAAAACCAAAGTGCTCCCAAAGGAGTGAAATAACGTTTCGTTTTGATACCAGTGCAGCCATCCTTCTCAACATGCATCATTGAGTTGAATCACGTTCAGTAATCGCGGTGGCCCATGATGCAGCGCGGTGGGTTTCTTCATATTGCGATATTTCATTTTTGCGGTTACCGTGACAGCCCTAATTTGAATATAGTCTTTATTTTTAACCCTGTGCTTCATTTTTGTGCTGTATTTTCTAAATTAGGACGTAGCTTATTCTGATTCATCTCAAAGAACTAAAATTAACACTGATTTCATTAAAAACTTTATCAAAATTTCTCTACAGCAAGAAGTTCTAATCTCAGTGGATGGACCTTTCTCAGTGGCCTAGTGGTAGAGTGTCCGCCCTGAGACTGGGAGATCAGGGGTTCGACTCCTGGTCGGGTCATACCAAAGACTTTGAAAAAATGGGACCCAATGCCTCCCTGCTTGACACTCAGCATTAAGGGGGTTGGATTGGGGGGTTAAACCACCAAATGGTTCCCGAGCGCGGCTGTGTCTGCAGCTCACCGCTCCCCCAGGGGATGGTCAAATGCGGAGAAAAAAATTCGCACACACACCTACGTGTGTGACAACTAATGGGACTTTGGACTTTGACTTTAATCGACCATTACAAGGTGACTTTTGAACATTTAACTCATTCACTGCCAATGACGACTAAAGTCGTCATTTGCATTTTTTTACTGTGTGGGCGTAGGAACGAGCCCCCGCACCGTGAGAACAAACATCTCAGCTCTAAAGCCGATCTTCATCCGCACACGTCACACGTCACGTGACCAAGAAGCAGAAAATCCATGTGTTGGGAGATCGTTTTGGGCCGCTGTTGAAAAAAAAAGTGAGACGCAAACTGGAAAAGCTTCTGCCGATCACAATTCAACAACGGATTATGAAAGAACGGATAAAGCTTGAAACATACGGATTCTTCCTGATGTAAGAGGTGAGTCTCTGCTTTGTTTTGGTTGTTTTGGCATCGACATCATCCTAGCGCGCAACGTTCTGTAACACTTAAAAAAACAGTAAAAACTAGAGGTGCAAAAAAAAATCGATTCAAGTCTGAATCGGGATTCTTATTTATAAAGATTCAGAATCGATTCCAAGAACTCAAATATTTGGCATGTTACAGGTTTGAGATGAACTTTTTTGATCTTTGTTAGGAGAGTCAGTACTCCGTTTACTTTTGTGGTCCCATAAATTGAGATGATTTATGTTTGAATCTGCTGATAAGAGGGGACATGAATGTAATTTTTTCCATACTCAGAAATTTGAGATATTCTCATATTTATTTTCTAAGTTGATAAGTGAGTACTCAGGTTTACTCATGTAACTTGTTTCTACACATACTTGAAAAGTATTTGACCGTATTACTTTCAAAGCTACTGTTAGGTAAGTAAAGATTTGTTATATTTTACAATATATTTTGTTATATTTTAAATAAATGTTGCCTTTTGGTCAAAAGATTGTTTCTGTTTACAGTTTTAGAATCACTTTATTTTACATTGTAAGTTTGCATTTTTGGAGCATGACCAGTTTAAAGTCAGATAAAAATGTCCCATAGCTTTAACTAACTTGTACAACAAAGTAGTTCATCCTGGAGCTGACACTCTTTGTTAATACTGATTGTGAATCGATTTAAATTGAGAATAGATTCTGAATCGAATCGGCACCCCAAGAATCGGAATCGAATCATATCGTGAGTTGCTC